AAACAAATACATAAAGTGTCAGTACATTCAATGTGAATTAATTGTCTCTGAAACTGATGCAAAATATTGAAACAAATACATAAAGTGTCAGTACATTCAATATGAATTAATTGTCTCTGAAACTGATGCAATATATGGAAACCAATACATAAAGTGTCAGTACATTCAATGTGAATTAATTGTCTTCTTCGTCAGGAGTTTTACAAGATATATACTAAGCATTTTTCTATTAATATTTATATCGAATACCATAAATATATTCCTTTTTATCTTGTACATATATGACGGATAAACATAACAGTCCATAACTTCACTGTATTCCGAAGTAAATACCAAATCATTTAATACCTCACCGTACACGAACTTTACTACATATATTATGTGGTAACTATATGACAATCGAACACCTCACTACACAACAATTCAATACTTTGCTATATTCCAGAGTAAGTGTAAAATAATTCGTTATTTCGACCATTGACATATCCTAGCCGGCCTGATATTGCTTGGGCGAAAGGCCATGCAGCCACTGAATATGGAAGATATACAGTGTAGCTGACATATTATTACACACTTTTCTTTGCTTTTACTCATAAATACTTAAGACTCACTATACGAGGAATATACACATCAATCCAGCGCCTAACTATATAGAGCTAATAATAAATAAACTTAGTATTCCGAAAATTGTTTAATCTCTAAGTCTAATTTCAAGGGAGGTCCATTTCAATCTACACTTTGATCAACGTGTGTTATTAGGTTATACTAGTTTCGGAGAATTCCATTCCTCATCAGTATCCCTCTCACCAAAGAGAGATAAGCTGATACCCAACAATTCAATACCTCACTATATATTATTAGGTAAGCATATAACAATGAAATATTTCACAACATGAAGTTAGTACACAACAATTCAATCACTCATTATGTGTTGAATGAATATATAACAATCCAACACTTCATTATATGTGGAGTGAATACATAACAATCCAATACTTCATTATATGTGGAGGGAATACATAACAATCCAATACTTCATTATGTGTGGAGTGAATAAATAACAATCCAATACTTCATCATATGTGGAGTGAATACATAACAATCCAATACTTCATTATATGTGGAGTGAATACATAACAATCCAATACTTCATTATATGTGGAGGGAATACATAACAATCTAATACTTCATTATATGTGGAGGGAATACATAACAATCCAATACTTCATCATATGTGGAGTGAATACATAACAATTCAGTATTTCACATTATGTAAAATTAAGACATAACAAGCCTCCTAGTGGCTCAGCGGTAAGTCTGGAGCCTTATAATGCTAAAGCCTGGTTTCGATACCGGTAGTTAGCATAGCACAGATAATCCATTGTGTAGCAAGACATAACAATTCAATTCCTCACTTTATGTAGAGAGTACATAACAATTCAACACTCCACTATATATGGAATTAGTACATAACATTTAATTATTTCACTATATTCTGGAGTAAATACATCAAATTCAATACTTCCTTATACGCGGAGTTAATAAACAAATGTTAATTTACAATATAATCTGAATTAATAACAAGGAAAACATGTTATGATGTAAGTACAAATCAGTTCCATATTTTGACACATGGAGTGAATACATGCAAGTTAACAGCTCACTATATGAAGCAAGTACACACCAGTTCAAGGCCTTATTATATATAGAGTGAATATATGGTATGGCAACACGACAACTCAACATCTCACTGTATATAAAACAAATACACAATGATGTACCGGAGTACATCACTGTACGGAGTGAATGCGGAACAATCAAATACATATAAGTAGAGTGAATACACAATAATCGAAAAACTCTCTGTATATGTATACATATATATGATACAAAGATCAATGACAGTTCCATTATCCAATCATGTATAGAGCAAACACAGGATTAACGAATATATCGGTGCAAGGGGTAATTCCACACCAACTGCATATATATAGTCCATTATATAATGTTAAGAAGCAGCATGTCTATATATCTTTCTTTGTATGAAGTGAATATAAAATAATTTATTTCTCCCTGTACGGAGTTAAGGCGTAATAATGCAATGTCCTTCTCAAATACATAATAGTCCAAAACCCCTGGTATTTGGAGGTAGTTCGCAGTACACTATATACATGTATACAGAACTCCGATACCATCAATATCAATTAATGCAGTACCACAGTATATGGAGTGAATGCATAATTACACAATATCCCACTATTGGAGTAAATACTCAACTATCTAATTCCTAACTATATGGAGTTAACATATAATTACACAATACTCCACTATTGGAGTAAATACTCAACTATCTAATTCCTAACTATATGGAGTTAACACATAATTACACAATACTCCACTATTGGAGTAAATACTCAACTATCTAATTCCTAACTATATGAAGAGAATACATAATTATACAATACC